CGCTGCTGGTAAGAGCAGACACCACTAACACCTGGGGAGAGGCTCCATCTATAAGTGGGGAGCATCACCTGCTGGAAAACAGGTCCAGCGTCCCTTGAAAGAAACATGTCTTGAGAAGATGAGAACACTGATTTGTGAGATCTGCCAGCATGGATTGCCCTGCAACACAGGGGATTGACTGAGCAGACCCTGTGAGAATAGTGGCTATGGAGTCTGCCAGCATTGATTGCCCTGCAACCCAGGTGGTGGCGAACGCGTGCTTCGGACCCTCGACATCACAAGCTGTTGAGGGTGTAGGTCTATTTTGGTCAAAACGTTTCTACTCTTTTCGTTTCCCCCCCCTATGCCGGGATTGGCTGTCTCTTATACACATCTAGATGTGTATAAGAGACAGTTTCTACTCTTTTCGTTTCCCCCCCCTATGCCGGGATTGGGTAATTTACGCGCCTGCTGCATTCCTTGGATGTGGTAGCCCAGGCCAACATATGCAAAAGGTACTGGTGGTTTAAGCTGGTTTAAAAAGTTTAAACCACCAGTACCTTTTGGCACATCTGGAGAATTCAGAGGATCCTCTCTGAAAAGTCAGGGGACTCGGGACAGGGGGCCCAGCCATTTTTCCAAAGACGCGGCGCGCATGCTGCTGCGCCAGGCAGGAAGTACTTGGGAATTTCGCGGCACATCCATCCACACAAAATGGTTTGCATCGGAGGGAGGCCCATTTCGCCCCCTGGTACTTGGCACCTGACGGACCAGCATGCACACCGCGTCTCTGAAAAAATGGCTGGGAAACGCACTGCTGGTTTAAAAGGATCGTAGACACACCAAAGGAAAGCGTATTGACAGAGTACATGCTCAGGGTGTACCCACACTAGCCCTATCTTAAACCACCAGTAGTTTCCCGGCTTGCACAACAAATATGCGGCTCGTTTATGGCCGCAACTCTCGGGGCCAGTTTGCCGTTGATAAATTTCTCGCCAGTGGCCTTTGCCGCATTTCCGGCCTCCGAAAGTCGCGGTGACGGGCCCCCGGCCGATGTGTGGGCCAAGTACTGGGTGTTTAATTGCATCTGACCGCATTTACAACCAGAACTCTTTATGTATCTGACCCCACTTACATCCATAAACACATAAAACAAGTCCTCGCGTGAGTATGCCCTCATCAGGGTGAAAGAGGCATATTGAAAGGCCTCGTAGTCCCACCTTTGACAAAAACCCGAATGGCACACTCGTGGAATGCCCAATACTTTGCAGGGAAGGGATGGCAGGGCATTTAACCCACACCCAGGGTACATGAGGGTGACAAGTGTTATGGCTGCTGACAGAATATTGCCCTTTTTTTTTTTTTTTTTTTTTTTTTGGACAATTGCTTCAGTCTATTCGTGGGGAGTGGCACGTGCTGGGAACCGAGCCCAGCGTCCCGCCCCACTAGAAAGGCTTGGAAAATTTTGGGAAAGTGAGAGAGACAAAAGAGAATCGAGGACCTCATAAACGGTGGCAATGCACAAAGAGACCTGCGAAAGAAGCGATCAATTGTTCCAAACCTTTAAAGTTAAAATTCTGGCGGTTCTCTTACCACAACCAGGATAGAGGGATATCGCAAGGGCCATTTTTCAACAAAAAAAAAAGAAAAAAAAAAAGAGCAAAGAATGGCTACACTACAATGTAACATAACACTTAAACCCCACTTGATTTAGGAATGCATGCGTCAAGCACTACAAACTAAGAACAATGCGGGAACCGAAAGACCGAATCTCCAAAACGAACGAGCTACGCAGAAAAATAACAAATGAGGAAGGAATAATCATTCCTTCGACACACACGACACAAAAAGATGTTGATGTTTTCTACACTACCGGACATGGAAGTCACAAAAGCAACGAACAGGCTCGTACATAAGTTCATTACAAACTTCTACAAAGGGTATTAGACTATATATATACTATGGAGTTTGATCAAGTGTCAAAACACATGCCATTGGGCAGTAATCCAGGATCGGAAGAGCTCATCGCGTAATGGTGAAATGGCACGGCAATCTGTGAGACCATGGCACACCTCCCTTAAGTTGTATTATTGTCGTTGGAAAATGGCTCCTCTGGATTTCATCGGGCCCAGGCACTGGCTCCTCCGGACATCCAGCCGGACCTCTGCCCGAGTTGATCTGGTGGTCCCGGTGACCGGACACAGGAGCCACACATTGCCAGACATTCCAGACCTGCACTGTCTGGGTGTCTAGATGCGTCCAGAAATGAACGAGAATGGGGTTGCAAATGCAAAGCACTAACCGCATACGAAAGGGGCTCTGCTGGAAGGTCGTGTGCGCTTGGTGTCGTGCCTATCAGTGGATACGCAAGGCGCAGATCCGACAATCACCAAAGTGAAGAGAAACAACAAATACAGTCCAGCAGAGGTCTTGAAACCGATCAATCGGACTCCTCAGACAATACATTCATCATCACCTGGAATCGCAAGGAGGGTAGCGTAGATGGAAGGTCCCTGCTTGCACATACACACACACATAAGGAGCTTATCATTGATGATGAGGGGAGAAAAGGAGGATGAATGTGGGAGAAGAAAGAAGAGAGGCGGCCCGACTACGACGGCCGAAATGGTAACAACACCCAATCACAAGTCTCTGCCTGAAACGCCAAATACAATGTCAAGTCTGGACCTGGGAGAAGACTCCCTGAAATACCCACCAAGTCTCTGATCTCTCTCTCTCTCAGAAGTCCGAAAGGAGACCGTGGATATGGAGGGGAGGAGGAAAAGAATCTCTCTCTCTCTCTCTCTCTCTCTCTCTCTCTCTCTCTCTCTCTCTCTCTCTCTCTCTCTCTCTCTCTCTCTCNCTCTCTCTCTCTCTCTCTCTCTCTCTCTCTCTCTCTCTCTCTCTCTCTCTCTCTCTCTCTCTCTCTCTCTCTCTCTCTCTCTCTCCCCTCGTAGTTAGTGGCTGTGGAGGATCATCCCTGTCTTCACGGGATGTTCAGAGGAGAGACCGAACATCTACTACGCTTATCGTTCACAGATGGAGTTCATATACAGCTAGTAACCCAGCAGGGGCCTTCTTAATGCAGCACCGACCATGGAAATGAAGATGAAGATCCACCACAGGCAAAGTCTTCTCATCAGCTCCCTCCTCCTTTCTCCTCCTCTACCTCCACTTAATTCTCCATTCATACTACATACCCCAATGTGCACTGCTTATGCTGACTCCCTCCATAGCTGGAGGCCTCCCCCTCTGCTCCTCCTTTACTCTTTCCATAACCATGGAGGTCTTCTTCAAACTCCAAACAGAAACAGACTCGGGCATCTCAGCAAACAGATCAGAAGGCAGAATTTTTTTCTCAGGAAAATGCAGATTTCTCAGACTGGAACTGTGAGGGTCATTGCAATCCTCTGTATGTATGCAGAAAAAGAAAAAAAAAACACGGCCATACCAGCGCGGCCTAGCTCAGTTGGTACACCTAGAATCTTGGGTTTACGCCAATCCTTTCTTCTTCTTCTTGTGTTTAAGCCCGATTGAGGATTGATCACATCTGGAGAAGAAGGGAAGGAAGGAAGTAGACAGGTTCACACACTCAGCAAACACCGGCTTCGGCCAATGAGACTAAAGCTCTTTGCAGCAGCAGGCACGGTCTACAACAGAAGTGCAGGCAGACAACACAGACTCAGGCCCACTGCTTTAGCCAGAACAAACAAGCTAATTACAGGGAGCTCAGGTATCTGCAACCCAGCTGAGCCTTCTTCAGCGGAATCAGAAGCCTAGCAGGTCGAGAGGGATAGTACACGTGGCTGGCTCGAACGATTGCGAGGACTGCAAATGGTGTGGGTACAAGTCACAAGGTGGGAAGGCAGCACCCCCAGATCAACCGCTCAGGTAAACGGTTCAACACGATTTCAAAAGGAGAGGCCCAGCAGCACACTAGAACTGTCCAGCACACTAGAACTGTCCAGCGCACTAGAACTGTCCAGCGCACTAGAACTGTCCAGCGCACTAGAACGTTGGCCAAAACATTTTTGGTTGACTTCTGGGAGAGAAGTATGTGGAATGGTTTAGTGTGGTGGACAGGTCCCAGTCCGACCGGACCAGTCAGTATTGACAGATCAGAAAGATTTTTTCGGCCTCAGTGATCCCGTTCTGAATTTTGGAGGCCTGAATCCCGATGCAAGCAATCAGTCGAAGGCTGAAAGATGCATCATCAATCAATGGATGATGGATCTGCAAAGGTTAACGGCGTACCTTTTGCATAATGGGTCAGCGAGTAAATCGATACAGCAAGCTTTGCTGCGGTTTTCTGGCAAACTGGATCTTATTAATTGTGAAAGACGTTTGTGGCGCTGGTGCCGGCCATATTATATCACAGGTGGCGGGTGAAATGAGGGACTAGAGTTACATTGAGGTTTTGGGATGTAGACTACAGTAGGCTACCAGCCGGGGGCGATATGCAAGGACCAAGGAAGGTCGCAGCAAAAACAAAAAAAAAAAACAAAGCAAAAAAAAAAAACGAAAAAAAAAAATGTTATGCAGAAAAACAAACTGAACAACTTTTGCCTCAGGGTCACATCGAAATTCTTTACCAAATTCAAAATAAAAAATAAAATTAGAATTTTTATTTTTTTATTTTTTTATTTTTTTATTTTTTTATTTTTTGGGGTGGGGTCCGGCCGGGCAAGTGGTCCCGGGCCACTCCGGTAGCCTAGGGGATGTGTACATTGTGTAGATATTAAAGACAGAACTCAGAATTTCAACACACAACTCAAGCAGATGGGGACAGAAGAGCTATGAGGTGGAGTGCTGCTTCCACACACAAACATAGACACATACACGCACATTTCAATTGCATACACATATTCTGCACACAACACTCAAGCATAGACACATACACACACAAACACAAACACAGATGTAGTAGTAGGTTGCCCTCGTGATCCTTATTGGGAAGGTTGGGGAGCAGACATCTGCAATTGCAGCAAGTCCTGCACGTCCTGAAGTGTGTAGTCTATCTTCTCGCTAATGGTGGCAATCCAAGCCTGGTCGATGGGTCGAAATCCTCTTACAGTATCACTTGCCAAGATAAGAACTACACGCGGCCAGGGAAAAGGGGCGATTTTCCGAAGGGATGAACTACAACAGCCTGGGTATTAATAGGCAGAGAGTCAAACTCCACGCGGCCAGGGAAAAGGGGCGATTTTCCGAAGTAGTTGGCCTTCCCAGATTGCAGAACCCCGCCGCAAATAGGTTTGTTTACTAGAGCAGGGGCATCAACAACCTGCGCCTCGCCGCTTCCACACTCAGACTGCCTCGCTATGCCAGCTTGCATCATGCATTGTCCGCTGTAAATGACCACCATACCTCTCCTCTGCACCTCATTGTTTTCTGCACTAACTGCCATTCCCACGACAGCTCCTCATAAGCCCTAGGAGACAGAACAGGATTCATACGGAGACACTCGACTCCTTGGAGCCGCACCGTCACGGGCGGTTTTGACTGCACGCTCTTCCACGTTAGACAAGTCAACAAGAGAATTGCTGAGAGCGCTAGGGACAGAACATCCGCACGAGACTGACCACTGATCGCGTCTGCTACTGGAGCAATGCCTGACAGCGCTCTGTTCAATACCAATCTTCTGCTACTAGGCAACCACCTACTCCTCCCACTACCAATGGCATGGACCTAACCAATCCACCATCGTTCGCTAAGAACCAATCTTCTTCCTCCTCCCCTTTCTGGCCATCAGGCAATCCTGGTTTCCAATCAACGGTACCCTCCTGTGCTCCCATGTTATGCACCCCAGCAGCGCGATTGCTACCCATCCCTAAACCTGCTGTTTCTGAACGTTCACTATCCACGTACAGGACTTGCCTCTTACTACCGGTAGCACTCACGGCACAAAGCATGTGCTCGGAGGATGGACCCACAACGACTGACCGACCAAAAGGGATGTTTCAGTTTCTGCATAGACAAGAAAGCCGACGTAGCCGACAAGAGGAGAGGGATGATATTCATGAGCCCCACTGACAGATGGCAATCACTGCCGACAGCGGTCATTGCCCCCAAGAATTCAGAGAGAGAAGACTTAAGAGAGAGAGTGGACTCGAGAGAGAGAGAGAGGACTCGAGAGAGACCGCCATATCTTTAAGCCAATCTGTATCCACAATGAATGGTGGACGCACAGTAGCAAGGAGAGCGACCGAAGGAGCCAGAGGTCTCATGGCCTGTGCACCAGTTGAGCGTTTGGCCATGAGACGTACAGTTGTTCTACACATAGACTCCTTAGTAAAAGACCAACTTCTGTGCGGGTGCTGTGCACTGCATCCACAGAACGCAACACTGTGTATTCTGATCCATTCAATCTTTCCAACACACAATCTGCAGCCAGAGGTCAAACGGACCCTACATGAACGTGGTCCGTGACATCTTTGGTGCAGAGAGCAATGAGCAGTCTGGCCGCGTTGTCCCAACAACGAACCCACAGCCTGCGTAAGTGTCTGCTCTCTCTCTCTCTCTCTCTCTCTCTCTCTCTCTCTCTCTCTCTCTCTCTCTCTCTCTC